CAAAAATTAACTAGGCACGGTGGCACATGCCTGTAATCCCAGGTACTTGGGAGGCTGAGGCACGAGAATCTTTGAACCCAGGAGGTGGAGGTTGCAGTGAGCCAAGATTATGCCGCTGTGCAGCAACCTGGGTGACAGGGCGACACTCTGTCTCAAAAAAATTAATTAAAAAAATAGTAACGAACCGTGTTTAATTATCACAGTGGTTCTCAACTGGGGCAATTTCGCGTACTCTGCCCTGCCATGAAGTAGTCATTTGTGGTTGTCACAACTGAGCAGCATTACTGCCATCTGTGTGAAGAGGACAGAGATGCTGCTGAACATCCTACAACGTGCAGGGCAGCCCCACAACAGACACTCACCTGATGCAAAGTAGTGCTAAGGCTGAGGAAACCTGACTTATTCATGTAGTGTGAACAATCACATTTCACTGCAGAAATGGTGTCTCTAATTGTGGGGGACTGCATATTACCTCTCTAAAAGCCAAAAAATTCTGGCATACATCCGGACCCAAGGTTTCAGGTAAAATATTATGAACCCATTTTTTCTTTTTTTTTAGACAGAGTCTTGCTCTGTCACCAGGCTGGAGTGCAGTGGCACAATCTCAGCTCCCTGCAACCTCCGTCTCCTGGGTTCAAGCAATTCTCCCGCCTCAGCCTCCTGAGAAGCTGGGATTATGCTAATTTTTGTATTTTAGTAGAGACGGGGTTTCACCAGGTTGGCCAGATGGTCTCAATCTCTTGACCTCGTGATCCGCCCTCCTCAGCCTCCCAAAGTGCTGGGATTACAGGCATGAGCCACCACACCCAGCCATGAACCTGTATTTTTAATCACACCCCAATTCTTACAATGTACCAACAAGAATGAATGTGTTTCTAAAGCATTATTTTTATCCCTTCTTATTTGATGTCCCAAGTATAATCATAAAGAAGGTCATATTTGCAAAACTATTCAAGGGGATTCCTTGATTTTTCTTGGGCCTCTCTTAAATCTTTGCATTCATAATGTTTTCTGTTGAAGGGACCACTAGGTCGCCTTCCTGAAGATTTTCTCCTCTTCACCTAAGCACCAGCCTAATGCTGCCAAGTCCTAAAAGGTCAATGGCTCTGCAAAGGATTCCCACAGTTCTCCAATGTCACCTTCGATATGAGACCTCTGAAAGTCCTGCCACTTGTCATTTCACCTGATAACCTGTTTACATCTGGCTCACATTGTACCATCCACAGACAACCAACAAGTGGCCCACACGCCAAGCCCTGATAGGGAATTAGCCTAAAGGGGAAGTTCAGGGAGGTATATTTTTATAAGTGGACATTTTGTAAGTGGCTAGCTTAATTTTTTTCTTTTCCTTAAGAGATAGGGTCTCACTCTGTCACCCAGGCTAGAATATAGTAGCACAATCATGACTTATTGTAGCCTCAAACTCCTGGGCTCAAGCAATCCACCTGCCTCAGCTTCCTCCAGGAACCAACATCTCCTACCTGTTTTTTAAATATTTTTGCAGAAACAGGGTTTCACTATGTTGCGCAGGCTAGTCTTAAACGCCTACCCTCAAGCAATTCTCCCACAGCTTCCCAATGCGCTGGGATTACAGCCACCATGCCCAGCCAATGAAGTGTTTTAACCACTTTCTTCTCTAGGCAATCACATAATTATGGAGACTCCAGTATACAAATTCTTGAACCATAAGAAGCACTTGTATTAAAAAGTCCGAACTTACAGAGAAAATGCAGGAGCCAGTTTTACGCAAAGCTAAAAGAACCGGCGTCCAATTTCACCACTAGGTGAACTGAGGCTCCAGTTTTGGCTGTTAATTAGAAATGAATTGATCACACAAAGCAGGGCATGTCTCCACAGCCCCAGCCATCTGGCTAAAGGAAAAAATACCCCCATCAACATTCACAATCAGTAGAGCCAGCCTGGTGACCGCAGTCAGGGCCCAAGCGGGGTTTCCAGAGAAGCTTCTTCATGGTACCACCTTTACAGCGGCCCATAAAACAGTCTTAGCAAATAAGGAATTCATGTGTCATCTCTGACCTCAGCTATTGTGCTTCCAGTAGTGTTTTTAGAAAGATCGTTGTATATTTCTGTCATTGTTCCTTTTATTGCGTCCATCATCTGAAAGATAAAAACAGCAACAATTCAGCTGATCATTTCTCGGAGGCTTTTCCAGGTGACAAATACCTAAAATCTGTCTGTATATAGCAGAGGTTCTCCACTCATGACAATTTTGTCCCTCACAAGACACGGCATTCCTGGTTGCCATGACTGGTGCAGGAGTAAGGAGAAGGGGCTGCTACTGCCATCTAGAGGGTGGAGGCAGGGACGTGGCTAAACTTCCTGGCCGAACCATGCTAAATGCACAGAAGGCCCCTGCCCAACAACCAACCACCTATGAGCCCCAAATGTCATCAGCACTGAGAATGAGAAACCCTGGCATTAACAGGATTAAGAATCTCCATCGAATTCCCTGTATCGGATGGTGGTAGCACTTCACAACCATAAAGCTAGTTTCCATACCCACAAGCTGAAACAGGAGAGGCCAAATGTGGCCCCCAGATTGTGCAGATTGTGTGTGTGTGTGTGTGATGGAGTCTTGCTTTGTTACCCAGGCTGGAGTGCAGTGGGCGATCCTGGTTCACTGCAACCTCTGCCTCCCAGGTTCATGTAATTCTCCTGCCTCAGCCTCCCAAGTAGCTAGGATTACAGGTGCATGCCACCATGGCTGGCTTTTTTTTTT